GCAGATTCGTGAAGGTTTAATGATTCTGTGTGAATTTGTTGTGCGATTGTAAATTTTGTGTGTTATTGATGGGGGAATATAGAAGTATGGTAAAGATTTCTTATTAAAAAGTCTCTGTAATGGTTGAATGATATGTTAATCATTGAGATGTAATGGGTTTAGAGTAATCAATTCATTAGTTGGTATAATTGAGTTACAATAGGGTCGAAGATTTCACTGTTTCATTAATTCCTCGTTTGCAATGTAAAAAGGAAAGAACAGTGGAAACACAATTGAATTCGATAAACATGAAAGTTACTTTTTACATCGATTCAACGGAAACACTGTTCCATTCTAGTTTTTTTCTATAGATTTTTGCAAATGAAATTTCGTTTCCCTGTTATTGATGTTTGGCGTGCGGAACGAGCATACGTTTCTAACGGAAATACAACACTTTTTTCTTTCGACGAATTGTTAAGCACGGAGCGCTGTAAATGATAAACCGATCTCGAATAACTATTGCGGGGCGAGGAGTTAATTTTCATAAAAAATTCGGGGCTCCGTGTAAACAATTTAGCGAAATAAATATGGCATCTTTTTTCGAACAAATTTGCTCGTTATCGAACATCAACAGGTTACGCAAACACTATCGGTGAAAAATTTGTAGCACCTTCCGCTGATCGAACGTTTATTGCCATACTTTTAATTACGATTAAAACACCGGTGCTCCGCCGCTACAACAGAATAATAATATTTCCCGTGGAACAATTATTTGCTCAAGGAACGATTTAAAATCGCGACGCGCTCGAAACTTTTCAGCGGCGGCTCGCAGCGAACGGTCTAACGGCAATTAATTTTTTTTCAATAATTTCGTCTCGCTGCTCCGCGCGACAACTGAGTTCACTGTTGCGTTACCACTGTATTTAATCAATCATAAAATGTCCCTCGCGTTTTTTAATCGTCTTCCACTGCGCTACAAGCGCCACGCTTTTTAACTACCCCTTCGCCTATTTCCTTCGCGGCTGAATAAATTACAGTTTCTCTGGCAATTAACTAGAAAGAGCAAGGGAATAAAATATTAATTATAATTCTAAATTCATTGATCCTTGGCATTTCAAATTTTGTGACCTATCGACAACTCCAACAATTTTAGAGCTCCAGCTAATATAATATATTTTATTATTAAATATATTATATATAATATATTATTATTAGATATATTATATATTATATATTATTATTAAATATATTATATATTATATATTATAACATTCCTTAGAATGTTGAAATTTGGATTCGTGGAAAGTAATAATCTTAGGCTAGTTTTTCTAAAATTCATTAAAATATTTAATACTGCAACTGGTGCAATATTGGAGCCTACAAGCGTTCTTTCTAGACATTATTCTATTCCTCCTAGAAAACTACAACTCAAGAAATCACCAAAGTGATTCTAAACCAGAATATTCCAATTCTTGTTCGCAAAATTCAATAAAAATCGACCACTCACCAAATAATGTCTAAAAACTTCAACATCCCTCAAATCAGCTAAACTCCAAGTATCAAGTGTTAAACTCCCAAAATCCTGATATCCAGATCTAAACTCGAATCCAACCCTTCGAAGGATCAATTACCACTAAAAACCACCCTCGCCCCTCTTCGACGTTCCACCTCAACACGCGAATATCCGAATGCAACCGAGAACAGACCCAAAATCAACTTAAACCACCCCAATCCCCGATTGAATCGCGGGACGTTTCTGCCCCTTAAAAATCCTAACTTCCCAAATGGCGGGTCGACGGGATTAGCCCGGAGAATAACACGGCTGAAATTCGAAGGTGGGACTCCGGTGTTCCCGGGGACTCGTTAAAGACCGTCTCCCATACTTATGCAGATTTGATACGGCGCTTAAAGAGCGAACGGCTCGCGGGACGTGTCGCGCGCGCGCCCGACCTGCGAGGGATTCCCGCGTTAATTGCGACGTTTACGCGACTGTGGGGCGGGCCAGGGGGTGGTTCATTGTCGTCGGGGGTGAGATCGTTCCCGCGACTACTTACGACAACGGCGTCACGTCGCGAGCAGTTCCTCGTTTAGGACAAAGCCCGGTCGCCCCGCGTGAAATCGGCGATCGTTCCATTTTATCTACGATTCGAATTCATTGATCGTCTTCTCAAAGCTGCGATCCTGTAGATCAGTTTTTTGGAATGAAAGTTTTTGTGGAATGTTTAAAAATTTGATTGCCATGTTATCTGAATTTTGGTGGCATTATTTTCTAAGTAAATTTAAGCATTCATTGGTGACGTGTTTGACGAGTCGAATTTTGTTGGATATATGAGATTGCTTCGATTTGAGTTCATTGATCTCTATCTTCCCAAAGCTGCGATTCTGTAGATCAGTTCTTTTAGTAATTAATATAATTTTCCAAAAACAATTCGGAAACTGAACAACGCTCGTCTATTTCTACAAAAACAAATTTCAATCCTTTGACTATAAAAATTGTAACAATAGATTATTTTCAGTTTCTTCAGACATTCATTACAGTACTCAAACGAAACTATTTTCAAAATCATTTCGAATATTCAAAGCTTTGAAAATATCAATGATTGCTAAACAAAAAAATCGAAACCAGCCATTTTATCTGGTAGGGTAGTTCTAGTGTTAATATTACAACTGGTGCAATATTGGAGCCTACAGAGTTCAAAGGGTTAAGAAGTGTACCGGACTCAAACGGTTAATTGTTTCGATGAATGCAATCTGCTTAACCGTATTTTCGTTGCTCGTTTCGTCCACGATCCGCCACCATTCTCCACCATTCGCCTCCCTCGCCGAAAAGATCTTTCCCTTTCTCTCTTTCACTTTTCGGCCGTTTGACTAATAGATCTCAGCGGCAGTCACGACGCAGGCCACGGCGTAGCTAACTCCTCGCGTCGGATCCCCACCCCCGTAACGAGTCGTGATAAATGACGAGCGGGACCCGGAGCAGCGACGATTGAGATTAATTTCTCGTTGTACGTCTTGCAGCGGGCTTTGATACGCTCGTGGTCGAGTTCATTTCTGGGGAAAGATCCGCGAACGCGGAGCGGGAGACCTCGCCAGGGAAGAAACGAAATTTAAATCGAAACAGGGGAACGGTGAGATTTAAAAAAAAGATCGTCGTTCGGAAGACGAGGAACGAATACAAAATTCAGTAGCAACGTTTCTCATTTTTATACGCGATAATTAGATTAAATTCCGCGGGAATTTATAATTCGAAAAATTACTTGGAAAGGAAGCTCGATAGAATTTTATTTCGCGAGGCAGATTTCATTACGTCCGCGTGAATATTTATACGGCGTTAGAATTAATTGAAGTTTCTTTTTGGCCGGATTTTATAGATTAAACGACGCCATGAATGCATTAACTTCCGCGGTCTAATGATAATATTCGTAACCTTGACGCGGAACTCTTCATCCAGCTCCTTTTACAATGCGCTGTTCACCTGCGACTACACCGTTGCGTCGTCTATTGTTTCATCCCCCTTCAGAGGTGAATTTTATTTAATTAACCCCTTGTCTTATAGCTTCTTTGGCCGCCGCGCGTGTCGGTGGGTTGCTTTATCGTTAATAATTCCCCCGCGACGAGAGGGAATTATTCAGGTTGAATAATATTCATAAACCGTCGAGTCGGACCCGATAGAAGCGACTGGTTCGACGGATAAGTCGACTGGAAAAGATTCCGTTGTCGGCCTTGTTACTTAACGGTCGGTATTTATAAATTCTGCCCACAGGAAACACAGAAAATCGAGTCGCTGAACGGCGGCCGCCGGCAGAACAGGTTTCTAATTTAATATTTCAAGTTCAACGCGTCGGATAACTCCCCTGAATTTCCCCGCGGACAGTAAATTCGATACGCGCAACTGAGACACCGGAATTCGACGTATTTATAGCGCGACGCCGCGGAAATCGTCGGACGATTAATAAAACGCGAGCTGAAACCGCGTCCGCGTTGCTCGAATGAAATGTTTTACTGCCACTGACGACCGGCCAGCGAAATCCCGAGCACTTCGGCTTTATCCACTAAGACCACTCGTAAATGGTATGAAATTCCACTTATTCTCAACATCTAGAGACTCCCCGCGATCCTCCATTGCTAACACTGAAATTAACTTCAACGATCCCTCAACGAATCTCCCTCGAACCTCCATTCACGCAACGCATCGATCACCTTAAACAATCAAACAAAACGCATCAAACTGAATCAAATCAAACCAGAACACATTAAAACAAACAACCGAGCTTCCCAACTCGTCCACCCGAACAGTCCAAACCCAAACTTCCACATTCCCACCCCCTTTCACCCCTATCCAAGAGAAAACCTAAGAAACTCGCAGGCGGAGGCTTCATTTACACGTCACAATACCGAAACAATCTCATTCCCATCAAACGCACCCATCGCAGATTTCCTCCGCGACATCCCCCTGCGCCAGTTCCGCCCCCCGTATAATCGATAAGCGGCGGGAGGACGCGAGAACGGTACGCGCGCGGAAGCGCAAAAGGCGAACGGCTCCGAAAGATCTCCTTACGTTCCCTTCCCCCGTCGGTCCCCTTCGGTTCCCGGCGAACCAGCTAATTATGTATCCCCTGCGGGACCCCCGCAGACAGGAAATGAGACTACCCGAGTTTCCATTCGTCCCGTGTACACGCGTAAATACACGTACACGCGTCTCCTGCGGGGAAAACGGGGAGCGGCGTCGGGCGGCCGCTTAAAACGCTCGGCCTGGAAATACAGTCGGATTAAGGCCGGCCCGGGGATATCAGATACGACGCCCGGCGATAACCTCCGACTTTATATCCGAGCAGGACAGCGGTTTAATTAGACGACGCCTGAGATTCCGGCTAGAAACGTTGATCGAGCTAAATTGTTTTCACGGCCGTTCCGGGCCTTCCTCGGCTGCCACCTTTGTCCGGACGTCCTATCTTTCGCTCTGTCTCTCTGTCTCCGTCTGTTTTCCGAGGGTGTACGAGTGTCTTCTTCTGTCTTTGCAGGTTGTACAGCTTTGGAGACTCTATGGGCGCCGGGAGAAGACAATGCTGATCGACTAGTCAGATATCGGAGCGTTTGGAGAGGATTCCTCGGGCTCGATCTTTAGGAGACGGAGCTCAGTTTGATCAAAGGTTTCCGGGATTTTAAGGTTATGGTTTGTCTTGCAGGTCCTTAACGAGCCCGGAACACCGGAGTCAGCTTCGAATTTCAGTGTTGTTCTTAATCCGTGATTGGAAGTTAGGATCTTTAATGGGAAGAATTTTAGGGTGTTTAGGTGGTATTTGATGGGGATGGTTTTTAGTCGTGATCTGTTGAAGGAAATTGGAATTTAATCAATTGTATTGATTGGTTCAGTTTTGTGCAATGAGACGTTTGTCTTGGAGATCGAGTCGGGTTGAATTGATGGATTGGCTTTTGGGGGTTGAGTTTGTTTGTTTTGGGAATAATTTAATTAGTAATTGTGTTGTTAGTGTTATTGGTGTAAGTTCATTGGTTAATGGAGAGTTGTCAGTGAACTGTAGGAGTTTGTATTAGGCTAAGTGAATTTTATTTTTCAGTGAAGTTTCGGTCTGTTTCTCATGAGCTCCGTCGGCGTTTAAATTCTTCGATCACGATTTATTAATATTTTGAAGACGTACACGTCTCGAGGGAAGCAAAGACACAAAGAAAACAAGGCTCGAGAAGCTCTCTCGACGCGTCAGAAAAAGAAGCAGGAAGCCGCGACGAGTAGTTGTTTGTTTAGACAGGTTTAAAGCGCTTTTTATCCCCCGCCAACAACAATCTTATCTCGATACATCTTGAACGCATCTCGGGACCACGCGACCGGCTGAATACACAAAGCGTACCGCCGCACATGGACAGTGTTTCGAAATTCGAACGAAAAGCGGAAACAACGCGAGCCAGCCTCGATTCAGCGTGTCTAGATTTCTATTACACTGTTCTATCAAACGATAAATCTATCTTCCGACAGTATTCTCTATATTTCTACTTCCCTGTGAACAAACACATCGATAAAGCTACTACAATTAAAACACCTTACCCTACATTTAACCACTAATTCACTAAAACGATATACAAAAATCACAGAAATCTCCCTTGAAACAGTGCGAACGTTCGTCTATTTCCAAGCTGTAACAATGAAAATAATTACAAGGAGAATGGATAAACAAATTCAATTTAATCCTAACCGATAGGCACTTCTTAAGTTAAACAGTTAAACTATTAACCCCTTGACCTATGATATCTTCCTCAACTCTGATCGATACGACTACTTTGTCATTAATAATTCATTGGAAAAAGAGAAAAATTCTAAGCATATGTGGCGAAGATTTCAAACAGAATTCAACAAGCATGAACACTACTCAATTCTATTGAACCCAAATGAAATGTTATTCTTCTGTTATCACTTGTTATGCATCGGAGCAAACACAGACACAGGATGCCCCCAAAATTTCTCTTTTCTCCAATAAACTGTTAACAACAAAGTAGTCGTATCGATCATGGTTCTGAAATAAATCATAGCGCAAGGGGTTAAAAGGGGGTAGTTCTTTTCTTGTTACCACTCGTTATGCATCAGAGCAAACACAGACACAGGACGCGCCCAAAATTTCTCTTTTTTCCAATAAACTGTTAACAACAAAGTAGTCGTGTCGATCGTGGTTCTGAAATAAATCATGGCGCAAGGGGTTAAAAGGGGGTAGTTCGGCGAAATCGCGGCACGCGTCGCGTCGTTTATCCGCGCGAAGATAGTCGGCCGCGGCGCGTTCCCGTGCGATACGTCATCCCCCGGTGGCGGCCGGGGGTTGACGTTCGCCGCCCCTGCCCGGCGAGAAAGCCTCGAAAGCATTTTTCAATTCCGCGGAAAACTTTACGATAGATATCTTCCCCACGAGAGAAGCGGCCGCGCTCCGCTCGCCAGAAACATTTGTACATAAATCTGAAAATTATGAGCCCTCGTCGTCTCCCGGCCCCCTCCCGCGTCGCCGGCGCCCTCACCCCAGCAGCCTGCAACCCCCGCAGCCGGCCGGCCATATGCCTGCCAACGCGTAACGGAGAGATAACGCGGAGAGCAACCCCTCGTGAAGGCAACCGCAGCCGCACGGCTGCGTATGCGCGTGAAACTGCAGTCTTGGAACACGGCCGATACGCTGTACAGGGTGTTTCCGAAGTAGTGCGACTGGGGAGGAAGCGAGGTGATGGGGAGAGTCGGTTGGAGCTGGGAAATAGCATAAGTTGTGGGAAACTCGGTTTTTTCATACTAAGTGATCTATTGATTTCATCGTTTTGAGATTGATTGAAGATGCTTCTCGGGGAAATTATTGAAGACATTCCCGTATGTGAATTGAATTGTAAATTAATTAGTATATTAATTGAACTGCTCGGTAGGTTTGATACTGGAACTGAAGATTGGATTTTCGTTATCTTGAAGGCATTGTATATTTGAAGTGATTTTGATAGTTTCATTTTATTGTTTGATGAAACTGGGAATTATATATTATTAGAATTTTTATATCAAATGCTCCGTAGTTCTAGTGCTAAATGGAGATTGATGCACTGCGTGTGAGGAAGTGGAAATGGTGTGTCGTGGACAGACGTGTTAGACGATTCCTATTGAGTAACGCAACATGTGTAACTAATACTATTATATATAATTATTTAAAGTAACATTGTATTATTGAAAACTAGTCCAAGTCACATAATACATTTAGTAACTCAACTCTAACCTCCATTTGTTCAACATTTCAAACGAAAGAGAAATTTCATATTTCAGCAAAAGCGTTAACACTAGAACTACGGATTTAAAACGATTGATATTCTCGGTTTCCTCAAACATTCATTATAGTATTCAAGTGAAGCTATTTTCAAGATCACTTCAGATATTCAATACTTTTAAGGTACCAATAACTACAAAACAAAACTATCTAGTGTTAAACACCGTTACCTCAAAATACCGGAAACACAGGAAAAAATCACATCCCCAGTTCTCCACATAGAATAATCTTCTCTCAGACTGCACCAGAATTTCGGAAACACCCTGTACACGCTTCACTCTCGCGTCGTTCCCCGCGTTCTCTTGTTAGCACCCTCTCGGTTCACCCCGCGGCCGTTTCCAGCGGAATCGGCCACGGCCAGAGAAAGCATTCCCGTATAAATCAAGATCCGTGGAAAATAAAAATCACTTTCGCGGCGGATCGGTCGATTAAGGGGCCATCGATGGCCGCTCGGGGACGCGCCGCCGGTAGCCGGTGCGCTTTTCATCCCTATTTTCGCTCGCGGGGCGGCCGGGGAAGGCGACGAGGCTTATCGCGGTTTCGAATGGACCGATTTCCACGGGGGTTGTGTCACGGAATCGTCGGCTCTCGGGTGTTTTTACCCTGATCCCGTTCCCTCGGAGACTTTTTTACGGCGCGCCCCTAACTCTGCCTTCCTTTCGCTCCCTTGTAAACGTGCGACTTCTCGACGCGACTCGGGACACTTGGCTTTTCGGCGTGGGTATGCATTGCTGGAGTTTGATGAGGTCGATTCCATTCTGAATCTATTGTTGGGAGGTTCTTAACCTCTCGCGGAAATGAATTCTGGGATTTGGCATTCCTCGAGGAATTTTAACCACTTGCACGTGGAATTCAGAGATTTGGAGTCTTGAGGGAAGAATTTTCTTTTGTATGTACGGTAATTTTGTTTATTGATAATTTTATAGTGGGAGGTACACTTCGAAACGATGTAATATGCGTGATGCAACGAGATTATCAATGTGTGAAACGTAACATTGACGATTTGGGTATAAAACGTCTCGACGTAGGTGCGTCTTTCCAGCGCAAGAGGTTAGAGCTGTAGATCGGTGATTGTAGGATAAGTATGGAGATGGAAGTTAATTAAGGAAAATCTGAGCTCTTGTGAGTCTTTCGATATGCAAGGTTTTTCGTCCCGGTTCTCTCGAAAAATACAAGAACTGCGAAAAGCACAGGGTCGAAGGTTCCGCGCGAGTCTGAGCGACGATAAGTCTACCGATTCGACCAACCCCCCGTCGGTTCCGTTGAACGCCTCGATGCTCAGCCGGCAGGCAATACGCAAATAAACTCGCCGATCCCCCATCGTATACCCTCGACCTATCGGCCCCTCGCCTGGGCGCTAGGCTGCGTGGCCTGAGCAAGCTTCGGGAGGAGATCGAAGGAAAATATGCCGAACGAAGCGAAGTATAAAGAGAGAATCATCGGAAGAATATATGTTCTGAACACTGGAGTGTTCTTACTTGGAAGTAAGAAGGAAAGAAAATATCTAGGTAGTTGAGTAGCTGGGTACTTGAATTGCTAGGTGTCTTAGTGAGTAAGCACCTAGATAATTGGACACCTAAATAGTTGGGCAGCAAGATGGATAGTTGCTTAGATAGGTAGGCATCTTGATAACTAGGGACCTGAATCGCTAGGCGGCTAGGTAACTAGGCATCTAGATAACTAGGTATTTCGATAACTAGGCATCTAGATAACTAGGTATCTCGATAACTAGGCATCTAGATAACTACGTATCTATATAACTAGGTATCTCGATAACTAGGCATCTAGATAGCTAGGTACCTAGGTAGCTAAGCATCTAGATAGCTAGGTGCCTAGGTAGCTAGGCATCTATATAACTAGGGACCTAAATTGCTAGGCGCCTAGATATCTAAACATCTAGATAACCAGGAATCTAGATAACTAGGAACCCAAATAACTAAGCGTTTAGACAACTAGACATCTATGTAACCAGGTACCTAAGTAACTAAGCATCTACACAACTACGCACCCAAATTGCTAGGGCCTAGATAACTAGACGTCTACATAACTAGGCATCTACACATCTAATCACCTATATATCTAGACATCCATATACCCACACACTCATCCACCTACATAACTACAAAGCTAACACCTAAACAATAAAACAACTAAACACAAGAACAATTAAATCTTCAAACATTCACCCCTCACTATCCACCAAACTCAAAAACAGTTTCCAAAATAACATCCTTCCCAACACTCCCATCAAAAAGAAAAAGAGAATTTACAGAGATGGTTTATCGAAGCAGACGAATATCTCTCGCGGCGAAATCTGGTTCTCCGCTGATAGAACGGGAACCCACCCCCGCGGTCTCATGTTTCTTGGGGGACGGGGCGCACGGGTGACGCGTGTGCGAAAATACACGCGTAAAAGGCCGCTTATCGGGTTTGCGCAAGAATAGGATTCGACGACGCTTCCGAAAGCCATAACCGAAACGGTAACTGCCACCCTCTGACTGATCGAACTTATTCTTTTCCTCCGTTACGCCGTGCCCCCGTGGCTCCCGTCTGTTCGCGCCGCACACCGACCGACTCCCGCCGATAATGCTTCCCCGAGCGAGACCGGAGAGGAGCGAGGACCACGCACACTATTTTTCTGGAAAATTGAATAGACAAAATCGAATATTTGCCTACTCAGCCGCCGAGGGAACCCACCCCCTCGCGCTCGCGGTATCTCGGGCCGGCAGCGCGCTCTCTGCTCGTGAAACTCGATCGGTTTTCGGGGCTGCGGATCGTCATTGGAACACGGGAATTTGTCGCAGATTTCGATTGATCAACTTGTTTATTAATTACTCTCTCATGCATCATTCTTTAATCTCTCTTTTATGTTATCAAGCTTCTTATAACATTTGCAAATCGATACTTTCGATAGGACAAGAATTCAATCGATCCCTATGAGAATTAACAATGTTATAACATTTCTTAGACCTTTAACCCTTAACACTCCACATAGTTTTTTGATACGTCAGCAACTCCTAGCAATTTTTATGGTAGTCCTACTGAGAATTAACAATGTTATGACATTTCTTAGACCTTTAACCCTTAGCACTCCACATAGTTTTTTGATACGCCAGCAACTCCTACCAATTTCGATACTAGTCCTACTGAAAATTAACAATGTTATAACATGTCTACCTTTAATTCCCTTCTCAGTACAAACTTCGTATATATAGATCTGATAATCTCAAGATAGTTGTCTTAAAATTCACTAAAATATTTAATATTACAACTAGCGCAATACTGGAGCCCACGGAATTCGAAGGGTTAAAACTCCACAAGACAGAAACGAAGTTCCCCAGCTCTCGTATACCCAAAAATCGGAGTTTCCGCGACGAATGTCGACAGCCGGTTCCTCGAGTGCGTACGTGACGCGACAAGCCCCGCGGCGCGTTCGGCGGTCCTCCCGCGCGTCCCGTTGTCGAAAAACAATTACGCCCGGCAAAAATAGAGGGTGTCGCGCTTAATTACGCGCGCGGAAGCGGCGAAAACGCGGCGGCGCTCACCTTCGCGCTTTCTCATCAAGCTCCGCTTAATTTCTAACCCTTTCCGGCCCCTGTCGGAAGGGTCGGGCGAGGAACGCGCCCGGAGAGAGGAGAGTATATTAAGCGACACTCGGAATTACAAATAACAAATTGCAATTTGATTCCCCGCACGCTCGGCACTCGTACGGGCGGGCCGCCCGCGCCGAGGCCGAGGGCGCAATTTATCATTACCGCCCGACAATTTCGGTGACGGGCTTCCGATCCGCGATTCCGCTCCGGGGGACGAGTCCTGCGATGGAATCAAGACGTGAAAACAGTCCTTACGAACCATTAGAACTCGTGATCCTCGCTAATACACGGAACGCCGAGGAATTTCTTCGCGATCGAGGGTCTCG